AAAAAAAAAAAAAAAAAAAAAAAAAGACTGTTGCCTGGGGCCCACCCCAGAGGTGCTGGCTTAATTGATGTGGGTGTGGCTTGGATGTGGATTTTTTTTTTTTTGAGTCAGAGTTTCACTGTTGTCCAGGCTTGAGTGCAGTGGCTTGCTCACGGCCAACACAGCATCAACCTACTGGGTTCAGGCGATCCTTCTGCCTCAGCCTTCCAGGTAGCTGATACTACAGATGCACGCCACCATGCCTAGCTAATTTTTTTGTGAATTATTGTAGAGATGAGGTCTCACCAAGTTGCCCAGGCTGGTCTCGATCCTCCAGACTCAGGCAATCCTCTCGCCTTGGCCTCCCAAAGTGCTGGGATTACAGGCTAGGCCACCACGCCAGGCCGATTGTTTTTTTTTAAGGCTCCCCCAGGGGACACAAATGTGCAGCAAAGGTGCTGCGAAGTGATGAAAGGAAAAGGAGGAAAACCCTAAGAAAACGAGGGCAGGGACAGAGAGAGAAGGAACGGATGGGGGTCAGGGCAAGAGAAGGTGGAGGAGAAAGCGGACTCTGGCAGTGGTGATGGGGTGTGTGTGTGTGTGTGTGTGTGTGTGTGTGTGTGTGTGTGTCAAGGTCAGGGCCTTTGTGAGCACAGAAGGTGACTTTCTAAAGATTGCTGGGAACATGCTGAGTCTGAGATTGATACAAAAGTGATCAGTTATGAGATATGTTAAGAGGGGAATCAATGGACAAAGTTTTATTTTCTATTTTGAGTCAGGGTCTCTCACCCAGGCTGGAATGCAGTGGCATTCTCACAGTTCACTGCAGCCTCGACCTCCTAGACTCAGGTGATCCTCCTGCCTCAGCCTCCCGAGTAGGTGGGACTACGGGTGCACCTGGCTAATTTTTAAAATTTTTTTTGGTAGAGAGGAGTTCTCTCTATGTTGTCTAGGCTAGTCTTGGACTTCCGGACTCAAGCAGTCTTCCCGCTCGGCCTCCCAGAGTGCAGCGATTACAGGTGTGAGCCATTGTACTCGGCCAATGAACATACTTTTAAAGTTTATTTTTAATTTAAAGGGGGAGCATAATGGAATCAGCCAGTTTCTTGTTTCAATAAACCATCCTGCATTTGTGGGGTGAGCTCTGGTCCAAGGATCCTCAAACTTCAGTGGGCAAGGGGCTTCCGTGGGACCGTGTTAAAATGCAGAGTTTGCAATGGTGGCATTTTCTAGTGTCAATCTCCCATCCCCAAGAGTAGGGCAGACCCTGCCTCTCCCAAGCACCAGGGTGCAATTACGCATCACCAGCAAAGCCTTCTGCTCACCCCAACCCCACTCTGCCTGAGACATCTGCCCCTGGACGGCACTATCACGTACTGGCTTTGGTACCAGAATAACTTGGGCTTAAGTCCTGGCTTCCTGCTTGCTAGCTGTGTACCCCAGATGGGTTTCGTTCTCACCTTTCTCATCTGCAAAATGTCGATGACACTAATAACTGCTTCCTGAAGCAGTTAAGAGGATTAAATGAGTTAGTATATTTGGTTTTTTTTGAGCCGGAGTCTCACTCTATCACCCAGGGCCAGAGTGTAGTGGCACACTCACAGCCACCGCTGCCTTGACCTGCTGGGTTCAGGTGATCCTTCTGCCTTAGCTTTCCATATAACTGGAACTACAAGTGCACATTACCACTCCTAGTTTATATTTTTTGATTGATTGTAGAGACGAGGTCTCACCAAGTTGCCCAGGCTCGAACCCCTGAGCTCAAGCAATCTTCTCATCTCAGCCTCCCAAATTGCTGGGATTATAGGCTTGAGCCACCATGCCCAGCCAAGTTAGTACATTTGTAAAGTGCTTAGTTAGAGCCAAGTGTCAGCCATTATTGTGCGTATTATTATTATTTCCCTAGCCACCTCATTATAACTCCCACTGAACACATGAAAGCCTGCCTTCAGTGCAGCAATCCCTGCAAACACAAGGAGTGAAATCAAACTTAATTACCAAAGAGGCTGGCATGGTACTGCCAGAGGGGTTTTCTTCCATCCTTCTGCTGTTAATGAATAAACTAGAGATTTCCAAGACTTCATTGTGGAGGTTTCGCAGTTGAAGATGTCGATATCCTAGAAAAATGCAGAATTAGGAAAAACTGTTAACCATGCCCTACAGAAGGTAACTTCATGGAGGTCCGTAAATGACAAGTAGGAGCAGGGGTGGCGGCTTACTCTTGTAATCCCAGCACTTTGGGAGGCCGAGGCGGGAGAAATGCTCGAGCCCCGGAGTTTGAGACCAGCCTGGGCAACATAGCGAGACTCTGTCTCTACAAAAAATAAAACAGTTAGCTGGGTGTGGTAGTGTACACCTGTAGACGTAGCTACTTGGGAGGCTGAGGTGGAAGGATTGCCTGAGCCCAGGAGGTCGAGGCTGCGGTGAGCCGAGATTCGGCTACTCCACTCCAGCCTGCGCTACAGAGTGAGATCTCAACTCATAAAATAAAATAGTAGAAATGAGACCTTAAAATGGGCAGGGACAACCAACAGGAGAGGCCATCTCACCAGGAGAGTACTGCCCTCTGGGGACAGTTTTGAGCCATCCAGTAGTAATTAAGTTGTTCAGGCACTGTTTCCAACTTAGACTCAAAACCTTAAACTCAAATTTAAAAAAATAGTGGGAAAACCTGATCGTTTGGCTAACAAAACCTCTACAGCCCTTGTCTGACAAATATTCCATCATAGAGCCGCTATAGTGATAACAAAATAGTCCAATAATAGGGGATGGATGATACGTTCAAAGTTAGAATGTGAGTGTCTGTGTCAGTATACAATGGAATAACATGCAACCAAGAGAAGTGGTCACGTAGACGTATAGTTATTAACATGAAATGTCACTCATGATATACATTAGTAAGGGAAAACTGGTAAGTGACAAAACACTGAGGTTAGGAGGAAGTCTATTTGTTAGAAACATATCTGAGGCAATCAGTCAAGGATGCTTCTTGCAAGCCAGAGGCCTCATCCCTGAGTCCATCCCTGACCTCCCAGAGGACTGAAGAGATATCACCTCGGAATTTCATCTCTGCACGCCAAAATGCCAGTGGCACCCTGGATGGAAAGTTTTAATCAAACCATGGAAAACATCTAGACGTACAGGAATGATTAAATTGGGTACACCTACTCAAAGATACTTATACAAATCTTAAAATAATAATTATGAAAATGATTGACTATGTTTATAGAGTGCTGCTTAACATGCTTACCATGCTTATGTAACATCATTGTAACTGGGTAAAAATAAACAAGCATTTTTACAAAAAAACCAACAACACATATCTGTATGCTCGTGTGTTACATGGGCAGAGAAATAAAACCTGCAAAAGTCATTGTGTGGAAAAGATGAAAAAAATGGAGAATTAAACAAATTTTGCTTCTCTGTTCTTTCTCACATTTCTGCAATAAGTACTAGGAGCTGAATTGTGTCCCGCCCCCAGCCCACAATTCACATGTTGAAGCCCTCACCCCCAGTACCTCAGATGTGACTGTATTCGGATACACAACCTTTGACAAGGTAATTAACTTAAAATGAAGTCACAAGAGCAGGCTCTCATCCAGTAGGACTGATGTCCTTAACAAGAAGAGGACATTAGGACACAGACGACACAGAAGGATGACCACGTGAAGACACAGCGAGAGGTAGCCATCTGTAAACCGCAGAGAGAGGCCTCAGAGGAATCAACCCTGCCCACACCTTGGTCTTGGACTTCCCGCCTTCAGAATGGCGAGAAAATAAATTTCTGTGGCTTAAGCTGCCCAGCCTGTGTTATTCTGTTATGGCAGCCTGGGCAGATGAATCAAGTGACTGTATGCTACTGGCCCAGGGAAGAAGAGAGATAAGAAAATAACAAGAAGCAGGGCGCTGTCACGTGTTTGAGGAGCTCACAGGACGGCAGCTTGGGTGTGGTGGCAGGAAACACATGCTTAGATTGCTGGTGCTCAAGGGAGACCAGCAAAGCCAGCATCCCGGGGAGTGTGACAGAAAGGCAGGTTCTCACTCCATCCCCTAAGACCTACCGAGTCAGGGTCTGCGTGCTGTGCCCAAGAGTTCCAGGTGATTCGTGTGCACATCAGAGTTTGAAAAGCAACGCACAGGACGAAATTCCTCACAACGTCACAACAAAGCCAGTCCACAGCCAAGATCCCCAGGCTTTCCATCTCCCTTCCCCCACCCCAAAACTCAGACAGTAAGTCCCCTACATACGAACGAGTTCCATTCTGAGAGCGTATCCTGAGTCCTATTTGTTCGTAAATCCGACAGTTAGCCTGGGTACCCAACTAACACAGCAGCTATATGTACGGTACCAGCTACTTCACTGCTGCTTTTTTTTTTTTTTTTGAGTTGGAGTCTCAGTCTTGTTGCCCAGGCTGGAGTGCAATGGCATGCATGCTCATAGCCACCACAGCTTTGACCTGCTGGGCTCAGGCGATGCTTCCACCTCAGCCTTCCAAGTAGTTGGAACTACAGGTGTGCGCTACCATAACCAGCTTATTTTTTATTTATTTATTGTAGAGATGAGGTCTCGCCAAGTTGCCCAGGCTGGTCTGAACCCGTAGGCTCAGGCAATCCTCTTACTTCAGCCTCCAAAAGTGCTGGAATTATAGGCATGAGCCACTGTGCCCTGCCTACACCATTGCTTTTATGCTTGCTTGAAATAAAATACTGTACTAATATACTCTATACAGTATTGTACAGTAAAGTACATGAAAGTATAACCACTTGTAGAAGATGCACACACGTGGCAATGTATGCCAGACACGTGAACTCATTTACATGGCTGGACATGCAAAGGCACGTTTGCATCTTTGGAAGTTTGCAACTTGAAGGTTCCTATGGAAGGGACGTACTGGACTGAGTTTCTGCCAAGCACTGACTCCAGCCTGGGTTCACTTATGCCGCTACCACACCTGAGCCCTTCCCGCTCTCAGATTCCTGTCCTGCCTTCAATCCGGCTTTCTAATTGCTGGGGTGCTATGGGTGCTAGTTGGGAAGGAAGGTGTGGAAATCTGAGGCGTGCAACCACTATTGCTCCCGACACCAGGCCTGAGTGACGTCATACTTTTCAAGGGACATCGTCAATACCTCTGATTTTCACAAGATGTAAAATAAAAACTCATTTTAAGATGTGCTTAAAAAGTGCTCAAATTTGTATTTCCTTCTGCTTCTCATTTTAACCTATAACCATTTTTTTGAGTTGGGGTCTTGCTCCGTGACTCAGGCTGGAGTGTAGTGGTGCGATCCTAGCTCACTGCAGCCTCAAACTTCTGGGCTCCAGTTAGCCTCCTGCCTCAGCCTTCAGAGTTCCTGGGACTACAGGCATGTGCCACCATGCCTGGCTATATATATATTTATTTATTTATTGAAGAGGCGGGAGTCTGGCTATGTTGCCCAGACTGTTCTTGAACTCCCAGTCTCAAATGATCCTCCCACCTCGGCCTACCAAAGTGCTGGGATTGCAGGCATGAGCCACCGTGCCCAATCTATTTTAACTTCTTAAAATGTCAAACATGTACAAAAGGAGAGAGAAGAGTATGATAAAATTCTGACATCCATCACCCAGATACAATTATTATTATCGGTAGGACAATTTCATTCTACCTCGTTTTAAAGCCTTGAGTGGAATGATTCTCTGGGCAGTGACCGCTGAACTGTTGTTTTCCACAACCGCAAATCGAAGGAATACAAGATCTTCAAAATGAACCCGGAAGAGAAACTGCTCGTTCCACATGGGGTTCAGGGTGTTTCGGTGGATGGGCTTCGTGCGGAAGTGGCAGCTGTCCAGGGGCATGCCCAGGACGTCGACCTCGATGCATGGGCTTCCTGTGCTGTTGCTGGGACACACGTTTTGACCAGAGACAATCTGAGGGGGGAGAACGATCAGTCTCGGAGGATGAAAACATAACAAGGACGACCCCTGTACCCACTGCTTCCCTCTGCAAAGAAAGACCAAGAGCAGGCGTGGACAAGGCGAAGCGTTAATAAAACCGTTAAAGGAAAAGTGAGTGCAGTCACGGCATCACGGGACTGCAGTCTCGTGAAAGACCTGTTTTGCCAACAGCATTCACTTAACTATACCCTTTTGACTGTCACAATGCTCAACGGTCTTAAAAAAACAAGCAATGTGCATTCCCACCAGCAGTGTAGAAGCATTCCTTTTTCTCGGCATCCTCGCCAGCAACTGTTGTTGTTTGCTTTTATTTTTATTTTGTTTTATTTAATTATTGAGTTGGAGTCTCACTCTGTCGCCCAGACTGGAGTGCAGTGGCTGCTCCC